ACTCTTACTCTTATTTTTTTTATATTTTATTCTTATTTCTCAGACAAACTTTATCGACAAAACCACCAAAACATGTTGAGCGTACGTTCCAGTTCACGGGCGTCTCCACAGCTCGGCCTCCGCGGTTTAATCGTCCCGTTTCACACGAGGACTCGACCTGGAGCTCGCGCCGCTCGCTTTGTGTGATCCGGGACTTTTAACCGTCTTCAGCCAAAACACGTCATCGACCAATCGCATCTCCTCCAGTTTATGCTTCCTTTCTTCGTCGAGAAGTTTCCAACGCCGCGTTACGGAGCCACAACTGTTCCACGAAGCCGCAGAGAACGTTTCCGTGACTTGAACCCGGAGCTGTGGACCTGCCCCTGAATCCACCGTCGGGTTTCGATCCAAACGCTTCCAGAAAGTTCAGTTACGTTTTTGAGGAGACGGGGTTTAGTTCGGATTTTAAAACGGACGTGCCAAAAGTTTAGAAAGTGAATTTGTTTTTGTGATTTTAAATCCGTGTGTCGTTTGTTCGTTCGTTTTTCAAAATAAAAACAAAAATAAGAAAACAAAAAAAAACAAAGATTTTCTTCATTATTTGTCTCCAAAACCAAAATGAAAAAACAGATGATTTGTTTTTTTCAGTTTTTTATTTATTTTGTGTTTAAATAAAAAAAGGGAAAAAAATGGATAATGGACTAAACCAGGTCCCGGTCTCAGTTCTGGTCTGGTCCTGGTCCCCATCCCGGTCTCAGTCCTGTTTTAGACCTGTTTTAGTCCTGGTTTTCCTGGTTTAGTCCTGGTTTAGTCCTGGTTTCGACCTGGTTTAGTCCTGCTTTAGTCCTGGTTTAGAACTGGTTTAGACCTGCTTTAGTCCTGGTTTAGAACTGGTTTAGTCCTGGTTTAGACCTGGTTTAGACCTGCTTTAGTCCTGGTTTAGACCTGGTCTAGTCCTGGTTTAGACCTGTTTTAGTCCTGGTTTAGACCTGCTTTAGTCCTGGTTTAGACCTGGTCTAGTCCTGGTTTAGTCCTGGTTTAGACCTGGTTTAGACCTGGTTTAGTCCTGGTTTAGACCTGGTTTAGTCCTGCTTTAGACCTGGTTTAGTCCTGCTTTAGTCCTGCTTTAGACCTGGTCTAGTCCTGCTTTAGACCTGGATTAGACCTGGTTTAGACCTGGTTTAATCCTGGTTTAATCCTGGTTGAGTCCTGGTTGAGACCTGGTTTAGACCTGGTTCAGACCTGGTTTAGACCTGGTTTAGACCTGGTTCAGTCCTGGTTTAGACCTGGTCTAGTCCTGGTCTAGTCCTGGTCTAGTCCTGGTTTAGTCCTGGTTTAGTCCTGGTTAGTCCTGGTTTAGTCCTGGTTTTAGACCTGGTTCCTGGTTTAGACCTGGTTTAGTCCTGGTTTAGTCCGTTTTCCGTTTTTTCCATTTTTCATTCAACCACAAAATCGAAAACTGAAAAAATGAATCATCTGTGGTTTTTTTTTCATTTTGGTTTTGGAGACAAATAATGAAGAAAATCTTTTTTTTTTTTGGTTTCTTATTTTTGGTTTTATTTTGAAAAACACGGATTTTCCCATTTTATTGTTTTTCGTTCTTAATTGAATTTGAAAAGAGCGAGTGGTGGAACTGGTGTTTTAAATGTGAAATGTGAAGGAAACAAAACATAACTCCAGATTTTTTTTATTTTTTTTATGAGGAAACGACATTAGAACCGATCAGAAAAAACGTGTAAAATAATTTCTTTAATGTTCCGTTGGATGAAACACGGGAGATTTCTCTGTATTTTCCGGAGCCGTTTGGATCAGACTTTCCCGGTGGCCGTTTCTCGTTTTCTCGTTTAAACTCGTGTCATTTCCGTCACGTTTTGGTTGGCGTTTCCTCGTCTCTCCACACTCCTTCAGGCGTTTACGGCGCGTTTGTCGCTTTTGTACATAGTTTTTTCTGTAAATAAACCTTTGTGTTCCGAGGATCCGAGCGGAGACGGGAGCCGGACAGAGGTCAGACTTTTCAATGGGACTTTCTATTTTTTCCTTTTGTAAAAAACGTGTTTGTCGGACAGAGGCGGCGTTATTTGTACATAATTTTAAAATAATAAAAAATTGCTACTTTCAGTATTTTCTGGTGTGGGCTTTTTTGGGTCGCTGAATGTTTGTGGAACTGAGTGGACTTTTATTTTTCTTTCATTTAACGGTTTAAGTGATGAATTCAACACTAAATTCAAACAGTTTTAATAGAATTCTCTGCTGTTTCTTTTACTTTTTTGGCATTTTTTGAGCAAACTGGGTCCATTTGCCTCTTTCTGGTCAAAAATGCGTCTAAATCTAAGTTTGTTCTGCCTCCTGTGGCCTCTGTCAAGTACTATGTGACATCACGCAGCACTGTCCTGATCACAGACAGGTGTTTCTGATACAAACACCTGTCTGAGGGGCGGAGTCTGGAGTCTGGACACCTGTTCGACCAATCACACGGCACAACAGTCCAGCACAGAGCGACATTTGTGCTCGGATCACGACGGGACATGGCGGTGCCCGGTGGGCGGGGCTGGCGTCTCCTCACGTCTCGCCCGTAGACGCCGGTGTCTGCACTCGTCACGTCATAATCTGCGTCTGACTCATCAGCGCCGTGAGTCCAACCCACAGACCACAGGTGTCAAACATACGGCCCAGGGGCCAGATCCGGCCCTCCAAGACCTTTAATCTGGCCCTCAGCTAATTTTCTACTCAAATATTTTAATGATATTTTCTATTAAAATGGTGTTAATTTTGTGTGGTGTTTATCACAGCAGCGTCTCCAGCGTCTCTGTACGTGGCCCCTCCCACCAGAGCAGCACAAATGAAGACTTGTCTCTTTCCAAACGCTCTTAAAGGACGATCGTTTTGACTGTTGACCGTGACACCCTCATCAGAAAAATGTCCAACATGAGAAAAGTGGAGCCGAGTGCAGGATTTTACAACAAAAATGGACTTATTCCTGTTTACAGACAAGTTCATGTTCAAACTTTGTGTTGAAATTGTATTTTTCTTAAAGTTTCAGGTTGTTCATAATATTATAATATTTTGTAAAAGAAAGAGTTCATCAATTCAAAAAGATTTGTGTAATAGATTTGTGTTTCTCTGCACAAATATTTGAACTTCTTGTTATTTTTGGGGTTTATATGACATGAGTTTTCTGACACTTTGGATCAAAGTCGGTTGGACACGACCCCCAGAACAACATGAGTTTGACTCTCCTGCCTTAGACTCTATAAAAACTGATACAAACTGAGTGCCTCGTCTCCACAGAGTTTAGCTCAAATGAAGCTCCCGTTGCCGCGGTGACAGGAGCGAAACTGAAGCCAGGTTCATATTTGGAAATGTGACGGCGAGTATCATAACGACATGAGCCAATCATGACTCAGGAGGTTAAATGTCCAGAAAGCAGCGAATATCACACAGACGCAGTGTTTCTGTGGTTCCTCAAAATAATAAGGAAACTTTTAACTTTTATCATCAAACTTTAAATAGTGTGAATAATAAATGTATTTAAATCGAGGCTCACGAAACACATGATCTGTTGTTGACACTAGTGGGAGGGGCCTCGGGGGATGAAGGCGTCTGATTGGTCCGTTATTTATGTTCAGATCTTGATTTAGGGACAAAATAGAGAAATTTAAAACATCAGGATCCTGTGTCATGGATTCAGAAAAACATTTAAGAGCAAAACGACGAGGCCACAGCAGCAGAGACAGAGACGAGCCACAAGATCCTCACGGAAGAGCCAGAGTCAGAAGGAGCCAGAAGAGCCGCCCGGAGCACTTCCTGCTCCATTTATATATATGGACTTTGGTTCAACCTGAAAACTCAAATGTCCTGCTGTAGTTGATCGTAAAGAGTCTGTGACAGACACGAGTTTGACCCAAAAGTCACATTTTTAACAAATCTGCACGAAAATCCCAAAATAAGTCCAGAGACCCAGAGACTATTTTAAACACTTTTACACAGAGAATCAGGAGAATAAAGTGATGTTAGTGTTTCGTGGCTGTGGACGGAGTTTTATGTTCAGTTTCACTTTAAAGGTGAATTTTTCTAGTGGAGCTTCTGCCACCTGCTCGTCTCCATGCAGATGTTTATGTCCTGCAGTAAACTCCTCATCTCTAGTCTGATTCCTGAGCTGGTTTCACTTGGTGGAAACCGTGTGACCTGCAGCATTAGGATTCGTTCACTCGACAGTAGACGGGACTTTTTTTATTGAACCAGTCGCTGCTGTTTGGTCGTGACGTTTGTAAAGCTCCAAATCCTGTAGGAAGAAGAACAAGAACGACTTTCCCCAAGATCAAATTCACCAAACATTCTCTTTGTTCTGACTTTAAATCCTCGATCTCGGGAATCGTCGCCAACACAGAATGTCTGTCTTCGTCTCCGTCTCGACGTTTTGTTTACTGTTGTGCTGAAACACAAAAGTGACACAAACATTTCTCTCCAGCTCGAGATCAAGAATCAGAAAACACAAGACACTTTGCAAAAACCCTGGAAGTGTGAGTTCAGGCTCCAGCCAATCAGAGAAGAGACAGACATTCTGTGTTGGCGACGATTCCCAAGAAAAAAGAGAATGTTTGGTGAATTTGATCTCGGGGAAAGTTGTTCTTGTTCTTCTTCCTACAGGATTTGGAGCTTTACAAACGTCACGACCAAACAGCAGCGACTGGGTTTGGAGGCAGAAATGTCGTGGATTTGATTCAAAACAACAAAAAGGTTCGTACAGAAAACTTTTTGACATATTTTAGAAATTTATTATCAAAAAATACAATTTCACAAAGTTCTGTGGGTTTTTATAAATTAAAATTCTGGACTTTGTGAAGATTTGTCCGTTTGGTTCATGAGAAAATGTTACAGATTCAGACTTTAGACTTTAGACCCTGTTTTGTCCTTCAGTAGAAAAATAAAAATACATGTTGATATTTTTAAAGTGCCCAGATTTACACAATTTTCTTGTGTAATGTGGCACTTTTAAGCTTCAGAATTAAACAGCAAAATGCAGAGTAAATTCACATTGAGTCATTTGCTTCCGCTGCTTCTTCCCCACGTGTTTTCTCCAGGTCTTTCCTCCAGGAGCGCGGCGGCGGGCTGTCGGAGCTCCGGGGCGGGCGGTCGGAGCTCCGGGGCGGGCTGTCGGAGCTCCGGGGCGGGCTGTCGGGGTTCCGGGGTGGGCCTGCAGTGCCCCGGCGGCGGCGGCGGCGGCGTGTGCGCTCTGAGCCCCGCGGGAGCCTCCTGGAGCAGCTCGCTCAGGGTGGAGATGTAGATCTGCGCCATCTGCAGCGTCTCGGACTTGGAGAGCTTCTTGTCGCTCTCCAGGTTCGGGATGACGCTCCGGAGCCGGTCGAAGGCCACGTTCAGGCCGAGCATCCTGCGTCTCTCCCGGGCGTTGGCGGCGAGTCTCCTCCGCCTCTGCGCCCGCTCCAGCGCGCTCTCGTCCGGCTGCAGAGAAGAAGACCAGGAGGTCAGGAGGTCAGGGTCATGTGGGTCAACAAATACACTCACCAGACTTTCAAATTAATAAAAACTGGGACAAAAAATAATAATAAAATAGTGAAAACGAGCGCGTGATTGAGGAAAACAATCCGTGTGTCATTCGTTCATTTGTTTTTCAAAATAAAACCAAAAATAAGAAAGAAAAAAAAAATGTCTTCATTATTTGTCTCCAAAACCAAAATGAAAAAACATAATGATTCAGTTTTTTTCAGTTTTCGTTTTTGTGTTTAAATGAAAAATAGAAAAAAATGGATAATGGACTAAACCAGGACTGAACCAGGTCTAAACCAGGTCTAAACCAGGTCTAAACCAGGACTATCGGGACGGGCTCAGAGTTGCACCCGCGTAGACTGTCGGGTGATCAGGACTGAGACTGAAACTGGGATCATACTGGGACAAATTCAGGACTGAGACCGGGACCACACCAGGATTGAGACCGGTTCGGTCCTGGTTCGGTCCTGGTTCGGTCCTGGTTCGGTCCTGGTTCGGTCCTGGTTTAGTCCTGGTTTAGTCCTTTATCAGTTTTTTCCATTTTTCATTTAAACACAAAATCAAAAACTGAAAAATTGAATCATTATTTGTTTTTTCATTTTGGTTTTGGAGACAAATAATGAAGAAAACTGTTGTTTTTTCATTTTCTTATTTTTGGTTTTATTTTGAAAAACGAATGAACGACTGACACACAGATCGTTTTGCACTCGACCCATTCGTGACTTATTCACGACAATATTTGGTGTTTTCTTTGTGTTTTCTGTAATTTTACCCAAACAAACATCAGTTTGTTTCTTTTTACAGTTGTCAGGGATCAGATTCGTAATTAAAGAAAACTGTTCTGGACTTGACTCATTCGTGACAAACATGAGTCAGTCACATTTTCTTTATGTTTTGGTCGTTTTTTAAGCTGATTTTCTGTATTTTACCAAAACAAATGACTTGAGTTTGAGTTTCTTTCTCTCTTTATTGTCAAGTGTTTTAAACTGGTCAAAAATAAAGACACCTGGGACATTTCTTGTATAAAACTGGGACAAATCTTGGTTTTATTTTTTGTATAAATCTGCTGGGACACGGGACACAGACTCAAAACTGGGACTGTCTAGACACTGCTGCGAAAGTTCATTTAGATTTGAGCTTCACAAAGTTACAAAGAGCCTGAAACAGAGACACATCAGCAATCAGCGGTTTTAAAACGTCCTGAAGCTCCTGAAATTTGCTCAGATTTTGGTCCTTCCACTCAGTTTATTAGGTTTTAACTTCAGTGATCATAGATTATAATTTGGGTGACCAGACGTCCCTGTTTCCCCGGGACAATCTCAGCATATTTATACAAAACCACTGATTTGAATTTAAGTTTTGCACAAGAAATGTCCCTGATGTCCCTATTTTTGACCAATTTAATACTTGCCATCAGTAAAGAGAGAAATAAACTCATATTTGTTTAAGTAAAATACAGAAAAAATGCTTAAAAACGACCAAAACACAAAGAAAATGTGACTAAACTGACTCATGTGCAGAACAGTTTTTCTTAATTACGCACAAGTTTACGCACAATTTTATTATGAACAAACACCACAAAATGAGTGTCCCAGTTTTTTTATTTATTTGAAATTCTGTCCATTTCCAATTAAATCTAAAAAAAAAAAAAAAAAAAAACTAAAAAAAAACTGGGCTCTTACTTTCATATTGTGTTTGTTTACGGCCTGAAATAAGTAATAATATCAGTTTTAAGCGTGAATCCAACTTAAAATCCAACTTAAATGTTTCTAAACGCGGTGCATGAGTCATAATAATAGAGTTTTGAGTTAAAAATAAAAGATGAGACGGAGATAAGTCGGTGGTGTTACGTACGGAGCAGAGGTAGTGCAGAGATCCAGCCTCCAGCCGCAGCTCCACCACGGCGTGCGCAGGAGGCGAGGCCCGCGCGCTCTCACAGCCGCCTCTCACGCGCTCCGGCCCGGCCCCGCTGCTCTGAGGCTCCGGCGGCACCAACAGGCTTCTCTTCTCAGGCATCGTGCGTAAAACTCTGCTCCAGTGCGCGTAAAACTGTCCTCTAGTGCGCGTAAAACTCTCCTAATGCGCGTAAAACTCTGCTCCAGTGTGCGTAAAACACTCCTCTAGTGCGCGTAAAACTAGTGTGCGTAAAACTCTACTAAAACTCTCCTCTAGTGCGCGTAAAACTAGTGTGCGTAAAACTAGTGTGCGTAAAACGTAAAACTCTCGTGTGCGTAAAACTCTAGTAAAACTCTCCTCTAGTGCGCGTAAAACTCTCGTACTGTGCGTAAAACTTTGCTCCGTTGCGCGTGAGTTTGTGGAGTTTGTGGAGTTCGCGGCGGGTTTAAGTAGCGCGCGTGTGGGGGCGTGGAGAGGGTCGCGTGGAGAGGGTCGTGTGCGGTGGAGGCGCGGGGTGTGTGCGGGGGCAGAGTGGAGCAGCGGGGGGGTCATTGAGCGAGTTCATCAAAAGGGGATTAGAGACGAGCGGGTGGCCGAGAAGAGGAGCCCAGACGCGGCCAAGCAGAAGAACAGACACGGGCCGAGGAAGAAGAGGAGAGATGAAGAAGAGAGGAGAGGAGAGAGAGATGAGGAGGAGAATGAGAAAGAGGAGGGCGAGAAATGAGGAGATAAAGAGGAGAGGAGAAATAGAAAGTGGGGGAGAGGAGAGATGGGAAGGGGAGGAGAAAGAAAAGGGGGAAAGGAGAGGAGGAGAAACAGGAGAGAGAGAGATGAAGAGAGGAGGAAGAAAAGGAGGAGAGGGGAGTGGAGAGAGGAGGAGAAAGGAGGGAGAGAGAAGAGGAGAGGGGAAGAGAAAAAGGGAGAGAGGAGAAAGAGGAGAGAAGAGGAAAGAGGCAGGAGAGATGACAAGAGACGAGGAGAAAGAGAAAAATGAGGGAGGAAAAAGAGGAGGGTGAGAGATGAGGAGGAAAGGAGGGAGGAGGAGAAAGAGGATGGGGAGATGAAGAGAAGGAGAGGAGATGAAGAAAGGAGAGAGGAGGGAGAGAGAGGAGAGAAGCTGAACATCATCCAAGCACCAGGAGCCTTTTTTAGTTTAAAAGTTCTACAGTGTCTCAAAAAACTGATCTAATTTCACAGGCCGATAATTTTGTCAGTTCTTGTTGAAATAATCTCAAATTTTCACAGAATGTTTAGAAACAGATGAAGATTTTATATTTATTGTGTTTTATTTTTGTTGTTTTTTCAGGTTGAGTCGTTCATTTTGTGTGTTTAATCTGCTCCTCAAACTCAAGACTGAAGCTTCAACACAACATCTGGAGAAACGTCATGTGACTTGGACTTGAACCAAACCTGTGTCGAGTTGAACTAAAGGATCTGGACCAACATCAACATCAACGTCAGAAGAGCAAGAAGCAAGAGCAAGTTCATGAAAAACTCTCGTGAAGCTCCGAGAGTCTGAAAGGAGAACAAGTCTGGAAACCCAGATTCCTCCAGTGAGGCTTTTGTAACCCAGAAGAGTAAACGTGCCATATTTCTTTTATTTAAATGCACTCATTTTATTTTGAAAAATGTTTATTTTGGTAAGAGGAAGTGTGATCCTCTCGCTCTCTTGACTTCCTGTTTGTCAGTCACGTTGGGTGATAATGACCTTCTTATTTGTTGAGAGGAATTAAAACCCGCCTCAAGATTCAGTCTCAGAGTGAGTGAGTTTTTTAGGCTCTGGACGCAGATGCGAGAGGCTGTGTGACGACCACTTTTATTTTTGCTAAACTAAATGATTATTTCGTTGAATCCATGTGTGACCCTGAGGGGCCGTGACGGTGTCTGTCCCATGTTCCTGCTAACACAGCATCTTGGCTGGGTTTTTTGTGTGTGACGATTAAGAAAACAAAGACAAGACTGGATCTGGATTCTTCTTTGGAGGAAACGGCGAGTCTGTCCCAGAACTGAGAACTGAGAACTGAGAACAACCTTCTTCTCTGCTCGTCTTATCGAACTCATCACGTGGTAACGACTCAAACTACCACAGCGAGGATCCTGTTGGAACATTGACTTTGTCTCTACTGACTGAAGATTCTGAGCTCAGTTGGACTAAGGGTGAATTATTCTGCACAAACTAAATGGAAACATTACTGCTGTTAATTTGTAACAAATTTTATAATTTTATTTTATTTCAACTTTCTATCCAATACAAATCAAGCTTGTTCAATCTCTGTCTCCAGGCATCTCATTTACTCTTGCACTATTATTATTCCTGTTGTAGTCCTGGAGAACCTCGTGCCTGGTCCAAACTACTAGATTACTTTACTTTACTTTACATTACTTTACTCTACTATTCTCGAGTCAGGGGTTTCGCTTTGGAGTCACCACATCCTTTAGTCCTGCAGAAGGAGACTTAAAAGTGTCTGAAAAGATTTAAAAGTCGTGAAATGATGTGTCCACGCAGCAAAATCATTTTACTGGACGAGTTCTCTTCAAATAAATGAACTTTAGACGAGGATGAAGCGTCTCAGAACGAAAACAACATGAAAAACCTGATAGAAGTTTGAAAATCTTGATCAGATCAGAGAAATGTTCAGAGAATAAATCACACTTCCTCTGTCATTTCCAGCTCCAGTGTCTGTGGAGTTTTTTTTTTAACATGAACAGATTTTGGCTCCATGGACTCTGGCTCCAGTTCACTTTGTATTGAAACTCCCTCACTTCTCTCTCTGTCTCTGCTGCTTTCTGCCTCCTCGTTTTGATCTTAAAAGTTCACATTCTCCCTCCGCTCTTCGTGATCCTCGGGTTTTTATTTCAACATTTTGATCGTAAATCAGTTCCTGGAGCTCGGCCACAAATTCCGGCTCCTGTGACGCCGCGTTCGCTCGATCCTCCGTCCTCGTCTTTATCTGGGGTTTTCAGATTCTACAGTGTCATGATTTCTTACTTCCAGACGGCGGCGGCAGAAAGACGAACGACCCGATGAAATCACTCTGTACTTTGTCGAGAAAAAGCCCAAAAGTTTATTCACAAATCTTTAAGTTCATATTTTCTACTCATGACTAAATGTTGTGAAGTCGTCTGAAACACAGAAATATAAACTGTGACTCCAACACAACGTTTTCCAAAGTCTGGGTCGTGATCCTCAGGTGAGTCACAGGATTTTGTTTGCGTCGTCTCGATCTGCAGGTGGATCTGTGACGTGCAGCTGTGACACGTGACAGAGTGAAGCTTCTGACCTGAGCTCAGTGTTTCTGTGTTTGTTCTGTTTTATGTCTGAATTCAGATTTTCTCTTCTCACAAAAATGAAGCCAAAGCAGAAACCGAAACAGACTGAAGCTGCGTCTGATCTGCTGCTGCGTCTCTGATCTCATCCTTCTCCATCTGAATAGAAACTTTGAAAAGTTAAGACTTTTTGTTTTGGATCATTTCTAATCTTTTTGTGATTATTTGATTGACAGTTTTGTTCCAGTTTTGAATGTTAAAAAGAAAAAGAAATATTCGACTTCTCCATCCTCCATGTTCTTCTTCTTCTCTGGGGTCGAGTCTCAGGAGCATCAGTCTGAACAGAGACTCCCAGACTTCCTTCACCCCAGACACTTCCTCCAGCTCCTCCAGTGGGACCTGAGGTGTTCCCAGTCCAGTCCAGAGACATGGTCCCTCCAGTGTGTCCTGGGTCTCCTCCTCCTCCCGGTGGGACATGAACACCTCCTGAGGGACACGTCCAGGAGACATCAGAACAGACGTCCTCCCCTCAGACGCTCCTCTCCACGTGGAGGAGCAGCGGCTCTACTCCGAGCTCCTCACTCTGTCTCTGAGGGAGACGCCCTGCGGAGGAAACTCATGTCGAGCTCTTGTATCTGGGATCACGTCCTTTGGGTCATGACCAGATTCATCTTCTGGATCCTTTTATTTCAGTTTCAGTTTCTGTTTTTCATTGTTTATTTGTTGTATTATTTCTGTATTTATTTGCGACACAGAGAGAAACATGCAAACTCCACACAGAAAGACCCGGGGATCGAACCCAGAACCTTCCTGCTGTGAGGCAGCAGTGCTCGACACTCATCCACCGAAACTTTAAAACTTTTAAAAACGTTTCACACTTGAGTAAAACGAATCGATCACCAGTGTTGGGAAGTTTACTTTTAAAATGTAATCCCCTACAGATTACAGATTACAGATTACACACACCAAAATGTAGTTTGTTACAAAATCCATTAAATAACTTAAAGTGAAAATGTACTTAAAGTGAGTAATGTAATCTGATTACTTTGGATTACTTGAGTTGTTGTAGAGAAACAAAGACGAGGAAATCTTCACATAAGAAGTTTTGTCTGATAAAAGAAAATAAAAAGTCCAAACTTTACTGAACCAAATTAAAAATATTATTGATAGAAAACGAAGAAACACGTCCACACAGCAGGATTTAGTCCTGGTTTAGTCCTGGTTTAGACCTGGTTTAGTCCTGGTTTAGACCTGGTTTGAGTTCTGGTTTAGACCTGGTTTAGTCCTGGTTTAGACCTGGTTGAGTTCTGGTTTAGACCTGGTTTAGTCCTGGTTTAGACCTGGTTGAGTTCTGGTTTAGACCTGGTTTAGTTTCCGGCAGTGAGTGGAATTGCCGGAAAAAAAAAGAAGAAAAAAAAAAGGGATTTAGCCCAAATGTGAAAACAGGAAAATCCCTCTGTTTAATCCATTTATTTGAACAAAGTAACTGTAATCCAATTCCCACTCACTGAAACAGTAACTGTAACTGAATACAGTTACTCATCATTTGTACTCTGATTACTCTGGTACTGTTACTCCCTCGGTCACGATCAAATCCCCTCATGAATGTTCAATGATGAAAAAAATCCAAGTTTATTTTGTGATTTGTGAATAAATTTGATGTTTATTGACTGAAGGTTTGTGATTTTTAAAATGTGGATCCACAGAAAAAAAAAAGAACCCGGAGAACGTGAAGAACGTGAAGAACGTGAAGAACGTGAAGAACGTGAAGAACGTGAAGAACGTGAAGAACGTGAAGAACGTGAAGAACATGAAGAAGTGCTGCTCTGCTGCACGTGGAGCTCGAGGAGGAG